AAGACCTTGACACGCTATGCAAACTGGCTCCGTCCTTGAGGTGCATCTCGGTTACCGCTTTTGTGGCTTCGTCCGGACTAGAGAAGCAGACGAAGCCAAAGCCCTGCACCGGTCATGCAACAGGGACTGAAGCCATGGACCGCGCACATTAGGCCCTCAAGCGGCTAGTTAGCAACTCGTTGGCACTGATCTGGCCTTGCACTTGCCACTGGCCTCCTGCTCAGAGAACCCGGATTTTGTCTGGCACTTCGCAGGTGTGAAGCTAACTGTGACGTACAATAACTGCGGTGTGTCGTGATTGCAACAGAACTTGTCGGAAGTTGGTGCTATTTCGGCGTCCTTCATAGCAACGACAGAGGTGATGTTGCCAAAGGGTTCGAAAAGAGCCTTTAACGAGTCGTCGTCTGTGGCCTCATCCTCAGCTGCTGACTGCTGCAGCCCTCTTTGAGGTTTTCCTTCCCTGAGAGGTTGAGCCTTTCTTCGATAGTTAAGACTTTGCACTACACTTTGCTCTTCCTCTTTGAGGCAGTGGCCAAGTTTTTCACGTACAGGTTGACACCCTGCGAACGCGACGGTCCAGCTGCCGGATCCCTTGGCGGCATCTTCTCCTGATCAAAGCACATGTACGACCTCATCGAATGAGGGAGGTCCAGGCATGCACAGGCCTTCAGTTCCATTTGGCGCTCATACTTGGACTGCGCGCGGGCAACATACAGCAAATAGCCTGCTTCGGCTCTTGGCAACCAACACCCAAGGAAATTGATTTGACTCTCACGGTTGCATGCGAGCTGCTCTTTTCCGTCCGATCCTTCTCTTCCTCTTCTTTTTCCTTCAGGGCTTACTCCCAAGAATGGCCAGTACCCGGGCCTTTCAGGAACCCGCAGAGAGAGTCCTTGTCTGCTTCCTTCTGCTCATCAGTGCGACAATCCTTCTGGTGCATGGCACTGATAGCCTGCAGGCCAGTCCCTCTTCCGTGTACTCGATGCAACATCTGCATTTCTGACAGCTGGCAGCCTGAACGGCTTGCTCGTGAGTCTCGTAGTTGAGGAATGCAGACTTCCTGCCCTGACCAACCAGCAGGGCTGGTTCGAATAACAAGTCAAGGATAAATAAACGGCAGGCAGCAACATGCACCTTGGGGTCGGTGGACACATGAGACGAGGTGATCTGAGCATCGCGACAGCACGTAACGAAGCACAGATGTCCATGCCGCGATGCATCTCGAAATTGGTGTGTCAATTCCGTGTGCTACAAGGATGAGCTGCCAGCGGCTCCGTGAGCTGCGAACTCGGTCTTCAGCTTATCCTGCCGTACACAGTACGAGACTCTGTGGGCTCTGCATGGATCCTCGATACTGTTGGAAGCCAAGGGTGCTCCCTCGAGGCCTGCTGGCCAATGCAAGGAAACTCCCACTTCCACTCACCAGCTCGCTTGTGTGTTGGTCGTCCAGTCTGTGGGTGTGTGTGCGTTTCTAAGTCTGTGAGAAGACGAATTGAGCAAGCACCTGCAACTGCAGTACAAAGTGAGAACTTACAATTTTCTCTGATCTACATCTTACGACCAAGTCCTCGTCCCAGTCATCAGGGAAGTTTTTGACGTAGATCTCAGTGTGGCAGATGTGAGCACACAGCAAGCCTATGTTCGGGGCTTGAGCTGCTGGCATTGGTGAATGTGTTCATTGCTGGCTTCTCACCTCAAGCAATAAACTTGCATTCTCCACAAATCGATGTATTTCCTGTACGGTGCCGTTTCACAGTGGGCTTCCAGCGATCTTGACGCTTGACGAAGCCAGACACTCCGACCTCCCCGACACATCTTATCATCAAATGAAGACTCTTTTGTCTTACTGTTCGACCACCCGTCGTTACACTCTCACTCCTCGGAAAAACCAGATCAAGTCACCCGGTGTGCGGTCGACTACACAGTGGCAGAAAATGACGTGTGGCTAGGGAGCTGCATCCTGAGGCAATAGACCGTCTTTTCTCCGATTTGCATACCGTCGACTCGTTCAATGGCCTGCCACATGCGTCGTTTCTGGACTGCTGCAACTTTCAAGCCTGCACAACTGGCATTGTTCACAAAGCTGCGTACGATCTTCAGACCGCGACCCAGCAGCTGTTTTTCCACGACACAACTCCGTCGACCCTGACGCTGTCTCTCTCTGTTCAGCCCGGCCTGTTTGGCCGCATCTTCGGTCTCGTAGTGCACCTCAAGCGCAATTCAGTCTCTCTTCTGCTGCCCTACTGCACATGCATAGGCACGATGACGCATGATCCGTCGATCAGTGCAAACTTCGGATTTCGGCCGCCGGCAAAGCCGTATCCACGTGACTTTCCATCTGACCCAGTGCAAACCTTCCAGGACTGACTGCCACTCTCCTGGCTTCTCTTGCTCACGCTTGCCACATGCCACACCAGACCGCTGCCAAGGGCAGGTCAGAACATGTCGCAACTCAAAGGGGCTGAATACGTAGTGCTGAAACACTTCGCATCTTTGGATGCCGCTTGACGTGAATCGCATCCAGCGCTCCTGAAAATGTTGTGTACGTGTGCGGCATGACCCTGTCGGCTTGATAGCCGCTGCCTGTCTGTGCATTTTTCCCTCTCGCATGGGAGGTCCGAGAAAAGCTGCTTGCTTGCCGAGGCTTGCCGATGTCCAGAGTGCTCCGCTGTCAACGTGGGCAAGAGTTCTGGGTTTTCGATGCGATCCGGCTGTGCATCAGGCAGTTTTGGTTGCTCCCGCGGCCCGTGCACAGGCAGAATCGGAACCCCACGCTATGACGCGACTGCCCGCGCTGCCCGTCTGCTCCGCTCACAGTGCCAAATTGCAAGAGGCCTCTTTTAGGGCCGTTGTGCCTTGCAGGAGAGGATGTTGCCGAAGAGGCTGAAGGTATCGTACAAAGCCTTATTGTCGATGTTCCGGTCCAGGTTGCGGACCTGGCTGCCAGTCATAAATTTGCTTTCTGTTTCATTTTGCAGGGACGATGAAGACTCTAACACACCGTGCACAGCTCCCGGCAAAAACATTTCCAAGGCCACCTGGTAGTGCAGCGCTCTTTCCGGCTAGCGGCTAGCTTTTTTCTGCCAAGACGACGAGTCTGACCCTTGCTTCCCGAGGCTATGGCTTTTGCGAAGGCTAGGGTCGCGCTGGGACCACATGATGCGGCAGGCGCGGCCCTGTGGAAGGGTTTCTCGAATCTCCGATGTTGTGTCGCGCAAACTATTCCGGCCTTGATGCTTGAATAGTTCAACGTGTCCAGAGCACGTTCAGCATCAGAAACACTGTGGAAGTTGACGTAACCTGGAAAGTTCGTGCTGGTGCCAATGTTGCCATAACGAGGGATCCCACTAATGGGATGAACATATCAGCCAAGATGCCATAACCAAGAGACCTGACATCATTGCATCGACAGTGCCAACATCAGCGGTACAGTGTCACGTGTAGTGTCACTAGTGACTGGTGCTGTGTGTGACACTCTGGAACGACTGTAAAAACCTCAAGCCGCTCGCACTCACTGTGAGTCTCTCCCGAGCGCACTTCCGGGAGACGCTGTCACGGCAAACGCGGATGGACGCCACTGGCCCGACCGAGTTGAAGATCTCGTATAGCATTGCCTCTACTGATGAATCGTACCGCTCCCGTCTAGGAATCTGCAAACTTGGCACAGACTTGCAGCGCCTCAGTAACATCAGGATGCAGATCACCCACGTACCTGGCACGAAGAGCCAAGTCTTGATGGCCGTCGCTTCTAAGCTCGGCACTTCCTGCAAAACAATTCGGCTGGGACGGACCAGATGGTGGAACAGAAACATGAACTAGGGTGGCGCACAAGGACGCAAACTGAGGCACCTCAGGTGCCATACTCAACAGCCGACATGCCCGATACGGACAACGAAGGCCTTTTGCTAACCGCAGCCACGCCACTCCTGCCATATCTGCCTGTGTGGCACGAAGTATGACGCATCACTCCTTTCTGCCATGCTCACTCTGAGGTCCCAGGAGCTGTCGTGGAGAAGCGAGGAGGAGTGACTGCCTTGAAGAAACCTCCGCTCGCCGTATACTTCAGCGAAATGTCCGCGACATGCACTCTTTAAGAAAACGAGAAGCATCCAGAAGTGTCAATGCATTTCTGTATATTTCTTTCACACGCGTGTGTGTGGGGGAATTACTCTCGCAGGAGTGCTGCCTCGGACGCCGCACGCGCTGGTGAGAATGGAGGAACCTGAGAGTCTCAGGTCTTTGAGCAGCAAAACAATCCGAAGACATTCACATACCAAGCCAGGGGCAAGTTCTTTTTGCAGGTTATGGGGTTATGCCTTGCTTGCTTGAGTCACAGGATTGGTTTGCTGCCTCCCGGAGGCGCAAAGATGGAAACAACCACGCGCTGGGGATGAGGCGATTTTTAAGTGGACTCGGCGGGCCAGCGGCTGGCCCCCTTGACCTTGTCCGCTGCTACTTCGAGCCCCGCAGCAACCGTTCGCATTCACATTCATGCCGCTGACGTCACATGATATCTTCTTGCCCACTCCTTTTCCACTGTTTGTTGCTCTTCTTTGGCGTGCCTGCGCAGCTTGCTATGGCCGCCTCCTAGCTGTTCAACTGCAACCAACACATGCTATTTCGGACATGGCCAAGCGTCAATGCGCTATTAGCATTCGTATCGTACTGTTGCGATGAGGCTTTTGATATCGACGCATATAACAAAGATCCCAAACACAACGCGCGCACACGCAGAGACACACACACACACACGCACGCACACACACACACACACACAAACTCTATCTCTATCATTAGACCTCTGGCTGATCAGCAGAATGACTCACTCCAAGCCTGAAAGCAACCCAAAACTATGATCAAGCAACGATCTACTGTTTGTCTTGGAAGCTTGGCATCCGTCCGAAAGCCACGGGAATGACCCTGCACTGTCATGTGGACAGGACTGGTGCGAACTGCACGATGCCGGTCGATCTGTGGGGCGCTCGACTCATAAGTTAGCATCAGCAGTAGAAGTCGTAAACCTGGTCAACGGAAACTCCTCTCTGCTCACATGCTCGTATGGTTGTGAGCAAGTAGGGCACATCCACGGAAAGAGCCCACTGTGTAGAAGGTGGCCCTTGCACACCATCGGTTGGGTATGCAAATTGCGCTACAATTTCGCATCCGGCTAGGTTGCACAGATCCCTGCTCAAACTGGCGTCGTTAGATCTGGCTGAAACTTTAACCTGCACCAGTTTCTGCGAGGAGATCTCGAGCACTGTCATGTTCTCGTCTTGCGCAAGGATCTTGCAGACATCGGTCAGGACCTCAGGGCACATTGCAGCAGTGAGCAATTCTGGACAGCTTGCTTTTCACTCAAGCCAGTTTGGACAAGACACTGCGCTCCAAAGCTACCCACCCTCTACCTGCCTACTTAGACATCTACCTATAGCCGTTTCTACCCCAGCTGCGTCGAGTGCCTTGAAGGTTGGCACCTTCATAATGAACAAGCCCTGTACAGGACAAGCAATGTCTGCAATCCGCTCGTCAAGCTTCTTCCAATCCACATTCGGCGCATCTCTCGGACGCAACACGACCAGCTGCTCCCGGGCTTGCGCTTCATCGTAGCCCTCCCCAAAACCCCAGCTGCTCGGCATCGAAAGCAATGGAGTGGCAAGCAGCTTTATCTGGGCAAAGAAGAAAGTCATGATGAGTCCAGGCACCAGGGACGTCACAAATGCCATGCTGCCGAAGGCCTTCTGCAAGCCAAGCTTTCGCTGCACAATGCTCGACTCTTGAAAGAGGACGTCGAAGTAGACGTTCATGAACTGTACATAGGGGAAGCGGTACCAAGGCTCCCTTTCCAAACTCTGGCCGAAAATTTGCAAAATTTCAACTTGCATCCATTCGTTGAGCTTGTACCAGGTATACCTGGATCTCAGATGCACAGGCGTGCATACTCACTCCCATATCATCGTCCAGATGCCCATGTGTACAAACATGCACGCACACACAGACAGCTAGGCCGTTAAAAGATGCCTTTATACATATTTCTTTGTTCTTATGTACACGTACCACATGATGGCCCAAAACTTCCTTTGCTGCTTTGAAGCAAGCTGCTCACCGTCGTTGCTGTGTACGTCCTCCGTCCATCCACTGCTCCGGAGCCTCTCCAAGATGGCGGTGACTCTGGGCAAAAAATCTTCTTTTGCCATTGTGTCTTTGCTTCTATATCGGATCCTCAAGGTACGTGTGTTTCCCGTCGCCACCCTTCGGAAGCCATCTGCCGCACCACCCACTCCAAATGTACGGCAAAGGTTCACGTTCTGAAGGCCTTGGTTGACAACTGCGTCTAAAGTTGGTTCCTGTTCGTTTATATGCTTTCAGATGGTTTTTCTGATCCACCGCTCCGTATGTCCTTGTTTCGCTTCTTCGGCGGTCAGTTGGCCTATGGACAACAAGATGTACTGCGGATACATGACAGAATGTATGTAGCAAGGCGACGCATAATTATGTTAAGGAAGTACCTCCACCATACGTCGCCAGCATATCCGACGCCATATAATATGCCTTCAGGCTACTACAAAAAGCTGAGACGTGCAAGGGAACATGAGGTAGTGTCGAAGAGCTCTACCACTGCGTTCGAGAGGAATGATACAATGCGAAAGAGTCCTAGCGAAATTTTACAGTCACGTGGAACTTTCTAACCTACACGTCCTACACTATGTACGAGACATGCGTTGAAGCTGACATAAGCTGACCAAACAATGTTGGCGCTCAGCCATGCAAACTCGTACCTGGCGTCACCGTGCGGCAAGCCTGCTGGGTATGGTAACAGGCATATGACACCATCCACGATTCCCAACCCGCGTCGCGTTTGAAGCTTGTCGGATCAATGAATGATCTCATCTTGATGTAGACCTGCAGTAGTGGCCTGCTCTGTTACGTGCGCACAGTATAATCAAGGTGTTAGGCATGATGATCCAATGGTGATGCGACCATGTAGTTGAGAGCACAACTGCTGTTCCTTGTACTGTTCTCTTATCAAGATGCGATGTGCATTCTTCGAAAGTGCTCTTCACATATGAAGATGTATGTGTCTGCATGTATATATATATATATATACATGTTACGAACACAACTCACACTCGTAGTCCTTTATATGCCAAGGCTTTTTCGATTTTACGGGCATCCTTTTCGTGTTCGATCACACACGAATCTCACTAGTTGCCCGTGGTGGTATGTAGTCCCATACCTGCGAAAAGCAGTTCCCAAACTATTCGGGCAATTGTGATTATGTAGCATCACATCTTACGGGAAGTCGCGTGTGCTTCTGCTGGTGCCGGACTGTTGCTACACCTGTCCTGTCACGTAACTTAAACAAAGCCGTAGTATCACGATGCTAGAGTCGCCAAAGGGCGTGATGTGGTGAGTTCATGCGAAGTGATAAAAACAAACAACTTTGTCAACATGTAGTAACCAATCACATCTGGCCCGAGAATGCCCAAAATGCAAGATGATGTTGGTAACGCAGTAATGTCAAGGGTAAATGAGTGAGTGGGTTGAAGAATCAGATCAGAAGAGATCCGATGAGTCGGGCCAGTGATGAGTGCATGCTCTGCGGGCCGTGCACGTTCCTGCTGCAATGTTTTCACTCACATGGCATGCTCTGTTCAGCTTTGAACTCGTCGAACATCTCTACAAACTGCTTTCAGGTGCAAGTGGAAATCTTTGAAGTGCTGCTGCTGTAGACTGTGCCTTCAGAACCTGGTCCGACTTTTAACCAGGGAACACAGCTTGCCATTTTGGAGCATTCGCCGCACATGCTCCGTGACGTCCTTTGGTGCTGCGGTGAGGGAAAAGTACCCGAAGGATGCCGAAGCGATTTCTGCAACGTTGCCTCGCATCACAAAAAGAGGGCTTGGCTCTTCTCGAGGTGTGTCTTGCATGATCAAAGCATGTGGGGCCTTGAGACTTGAAATCTCAAGAACGAACGGGCTCGAACTCATCATTAATCACCAGTAGAAGCCCGGTCACAAATGTCATGCTGCTGCCCTTCTGCCATCTCAACATCTTGAAGCCCGGGCGTCAATCCATCCAGGGCTCGTTGCAGATTGCGTTTTCGCTCAGCCTCCTCTGGGCTTCTCACGGGCGCAGGCGCTACCTTCCCGAGAAAGACACGAGCACATAAGGACTCTTAAGGACATCAAACATGACGGGTTTGAGCCCCTAGGAAAAAAGGGTGACACTCAATTGCACAACAAAGGCATCCTATGTTTTCCATCTCAAGCCCACATTGGCTGCACACCAAGCCGAGCGACCACGCCAGAAGAGGATTGTTGCGTCTGGCTTCTTCGCAGCGCCTGGGCCGCCTGGTACAAGGGCGGCAGCTTTTCCAGGCCCACGTAGTTGCACATCATTAGTTGCTGACTTCGAATGTGGACGTGCTGGGACCCAAGGAAAGCTCGCAACGCTCGAGCCCAGGTCGTTTCTGGACGAAATAAATCGTCCGCAGTGGGAGATACACGATCGTGAACGGCCTCGAGCAATGCAGCTCTGAGCTCAATCCACGCTTCCTCGTCCAGATAAGTAGACAAAAGGTCGGCCACTGTACCAACGCTGGAGACACTGCCCATCTTGGAAAGGAATACCTAAGCAGTGACACGCTGGAACTGGTTGAAAGCAATGAGATGCCAAAATTTCCACAGGCTTCAATCGATATCTTATCGCCGAGAGACCTGTGTAGCTCGCTTCGGGAAACCCATTGCCTCCAGTGCACTGGCCTCTTCAAATTGAGGAAATGCTTCGAGAAGCTTCCGGAGCAGCCCTTCAACCTCCTCCTTCGTGACTGAAACAGCCACCTGGCAAGGCGGTTACTGCTAGCAACGGACATTGGAGTCCATGTGCCGTGATGCTTAGAGCTGCCGGGGCCGCTCTCTTTAGCACAGTTTTTTCAAACCTCCTGGGTCTTCTGGCTGTCCACCTTCTGGCCCTGAAATGTGTCCAGGATGTCCTGACACGGGATGAGACTGGCCAGCATCACCGTCTTAGTCTGCCTGACCTAGCCTTGGAGGAAAAAGCATGGCAACTTTAATTTACCGTGGTGAACGACAACTGCTCACTACGTGATTCTTGTTCGGCTTGCCAGTGACTGGCAACCGGCAGAAGCGCTTTCGCTTTCAGTCGAACGGTGTTGCCAACTCGTCTGTAGCTGAGCCGGTTCGGAGGGCCAGTGGGGTCGAAAGGAACTGTGTTGAACTGCTCCTTCCTCCTACTGTCTTCAGCCTCCGAACCTCCGAAAGAGCTGGTCGTGGACTGGAAGCTGGCGCCAGCTTGCATCGTCGCAAGTGCTCGGAGCCGACGAGCTGCAACTAAGTGATGTCGGAGTGGCTCCGAAACTGCGCATATTCCGACTTCGGCATGGTCCTCGGTGATTTCGAAACAGTTGCAAGCAATTGTAGCTTCCGGCGTTGGTTGGTCCAAACGATTCACCGTTCAGGATTAAATTGTGCCTGGTGTGCCCTGTCGCAGCGACGCTGGAGCGATGTCGGGACGAGCGTGCAGCTGTTTTGTTTGCCGTAGATGACATGGTGTGGAGCTTCTAACCTCCGACTTCGCAAGGACGAGCCCGCACGGGAGGATAGTCTGGTTGGACAGGTTGCCACCACCACCTTTGGAAATAGCATCATGCTTACAACTCACTTACAATCCTTAGAAATGGACCCTGCAACTCTTGTGCCACACTGCCGCTGCTCCACGAGGGCGCTGACGGGGATCTGGGGCTCGGGACGCCCCGGCCCCCCCACAGCCCGCTTGAATTTTTCGAAGTGTCTAATTCCCGTGCCATTCGACAATGTTAATCCCGGGGCTTTTTGCCTCGGGACTATCACACCAAAAACATGTTTCACAGCTGACAGAACACAATGTGAGGAGGGGTAGCAAACAAAAGGAGCATAAAGAAATTTTCATTGAAAAGCTGAGTAGCAGACGCAGACGCACACACTAACACACGCACACACATATTCATATATATATTAATGCTATTCACATGTGTATATATATATATGTATATATGTATAAATGTATACATAATATACATGTACACATGTGCATGCGATCTCATATCTTGTATATATATATATATATACACATATACATACGCTGTCACAAGAGAAAATGATAAGGACAAGAGCTGGCTCTCGAACACAGTCCGGAATTGAGCTACTTTCGACGGCGTTGGGCAAATTGGTCCTTGATCACCGCTGCTGCAAACATCTCATTCGCACTTGCTTTGCCATTCTGAACTTTCTGCATCAGCGCGGGTACCAACAACAAGACTTCAGAGGGAACCAAAGTACCAAGGCCGGAATCTGCCGGCCCTGTGAAGTCCACATGTTCCACCAGTGGCCGCAAATTTCGCAGGATTTTGAGTATAGGTTCAGCTGCTTGGTCCACCAAAGATTGTGCTATCAACTGCTGGCCACTGCTGAATGCCTTCATCCGCTCTTTGAAGATGGCCACCGCCGTGGGCAGCGTGTTGAGGATTCCATCAATGGCATCCAAGACTCCTCGCAGCAAAACCTGAGGAGCTGCTTCCATAAATGATGCCACGGCCTCTGGGAGTTGAACTGCCGAAGGTGATTCGGCCAAGGAAGGCACCGGTCTCGGGGCAGACTCAAAATGCAAAGGCGGTTTGTAAAAACACATCATTTCGTCCACCGTGGGGTCATATGGTTCCATCTCGAATAACCTCAGGCTGTCAGGTCAGGCTAGGTTAGCCTAAAAAAACAACTCGCCTCCAAAGCAAAGTTCGTAAGGTCCCGGCATGGAATCCTCCAGGCCGGTGCTCTCCAGAATCTTCCTCCACTCTGACAAAGGTCTAAATGCTCTAAGTTCCATTTCCTCCTCCTTGTCAGTGACGCCCATGACGGCATTGAACACACTGTGGGCCAAGTCTAACATGGGCATCAAGGAAGGTGAGGCATCGTGCTCGCGAACAATAAAGAGACCTCCTGGACGTAGCACACGAACCACTTCTGTCAAGAATCGAGGCAAGTGCTGCTGGGGTATGTGATGAAGGCCTTGCATCATTGTCACTAAGTCCGTGGAGTTGTCCGGTACCTCCTTAAAAGGACCTGCTTCCATCAGCTGCCAGTGCACTTCAGCACCCACCGGATCCAGGGATCCGCGTTCGATCACGGCAGGAAGGTCATCAGAAAATGTGTCGTGGGCAACCCAGCATTGCCCCTGCATGTGCAAAGCCTTGCGTAGGGAAAGCACTGTGCGGCCAGGATCTCCGATCGAAAGAAGGTCTTGCAACTGCCCAAACTTGCCAAGATGCGACACAATTGAGCAAACTTCTCGTGTCAACTCAGCTTTTTGGGCCGATACTTGATTCAGCTGCTTCCACATTTGTCTCCCAGATGTCACAACACCACCGGACTCGCGCAGCTGCCTCTGCATAGCACGATAGATCTCAATGTCATCTCGATTCTCAGGATCTCGTGCAGCCTTGACCATCATTCGAAAGAGCGCTTCATTATCCATTACATTGAAAATCTGAGTCAAGAAGCCGTCTTTGAAGTTCCGGCGCAGAAAGGGGTTGGACAACAAGTCACGGAAGGCATTGGCACGACGACTTGGCACTTGGGGCACATATAGTCCTGATGTTCGCCCACTTGGCATCGAAGTAGATGTAGCAACCGGTTGCGACAGTGATGCGTGATAGTGTTCTGACAAGTATTTGGAGCCGTAGTGCCTGAACCACAAGTTGTCAAACAGACCAAGGGGGTCATACATCTCCTTCTTCATGAAGAAATCCTTTATCTGAGGGTACGCTTCTTCAAGCTGCTCATGGCTATAGTGACAGCCTGGCACGCACCAGCACGCATGATGTGTACAGTGTACATCGACCTACAATAATCTACAGTGGCTAGCATGTTAAGAAACTGTCTGAAAGGCCACGGAACGATACGGCAAATAGAAGCTGCCTTTCAGCGCCAGAGTCTCTTTCACGAACAAATCATGAAACTCTTGCATCTTTGCATCTGCCGAAGCAGTTCTTGGTAGGCGATAGTATAGAACGAAGGCAAACATGCCTTCCTCGTGTTGGGCATAAGGAAGAAACGTGTCCATGTCCTTCTCTACAAACCGGATGGTGGTGTTCAACAAAACTACCTCCGTGGTCGCAGACAGCTTTTTGTAGATTGGCCTGGTTCTGCTGATCCAAGACTCAAACTGACTGCGAGGGCAGAAGTACTCCTGAAGCAAGAATGTATCATCAACTTGAAAAAGTGGTTCGTAGAGCTGTGAAATTGGCACGGCGCTTTCGTGAAGCATGTGGTTGCGCTCAGTCTCATTGCCCCAGTCAAGAGCTGTCCCGGACTTCTTTTCGATGGCATACCGAACCTCCTTCATGACAGGCATGAGCCACTTGTACATCAACCTCGACTGCCAGGACATCTCTCGCGGTTTCGTGTCCAACTTTGAGACCAACCTAATTTGCTCATCGTGGCTTCTTCGGAAAATGAAGAAGTCAATGTTGTTTGTGTCGAGGATGTTGAGCCGTGCTAGCTTCATGACAACATCCCCCGATGCTTGCGCTGCAGCAAAGTATCGAGTAAATTCGCCCGCTCTCAGATGCAATGCCTCCATGTCCATGCGACTATTCCGGTCGACTCGCATGGTCACCTCCCACATGACGCCGAAAAGGCCGTACCTGCGTCATCCCGGTGTAGACCCCAAACAGTGAAGCACCGAAGAGACAACTGCCAGAAACACTCCCGGAAGACCACAGCACGTCGACATCCCGAGACCACTCCAATACCGACCTGAAACTCTAGAAAATCTAGCATAACCTTGGGTTTGAAGACAGCACCCAGGGATCCAAAACCCAACGTACTGCGAGGATTTGGTTAGAACAATACTTGGCTTGGCATGGCGAGAATGCATGCTTGATCCGCGCCGCAGCCATCTAATGCATGTCCAAGCGCACAATTGAAAACCTTTGTCTGTCAGTTAGCTTCACTTGTTACCTCCCCGTCGTGCACGATGCAAGCCGAGGGACCCTCCAAGAGCAAGCTTGAACAGCTCACCTGCTTCTCCGTCAGCCCCACGGGAGCAAGCAACTTCTTGGCCATCAGCCTTGATCAGGCGGAAGGATTCCACGCACTCGGACAGGCTGAAGTCGGTGGTGATGCCATGACCATTCACTGCCAGAGTTCCACCCACTGAGAACGTTGAGTAACTCTGCATTGTGCGAGGTGACATGCCGAAGTGATTCAGGAAGAGGATCAGATCCGCCCAGGTGCATCCGCACTCGCACACGACAGTTTCAGCTTCGCTGTCGAAATGCATACGACACATTTTGGTCATGTCGATGACAATGCTGTCTTCGGCCATGCACTGGCCTCCCATTGAGTGTTTAGTCCCTCTTACAGCCACTCGCCTTCCTTCTGCTCTAGCCTTTGCCAGGGAATGCTTGATGTCGTCAGCACTGCGCACATACACGATACCACCCACAGCTGTACAATTCATGCGGGTGACATCGTCGACTTTGATGGCGCTGCTGCAGGGATCGGGATCAGGATCCGGAAAACAAAAGCGACAGCTTGGCCTGTTTGCAGCAGTTGACGTTTGCTCGCCTGCCATTGCGATTCCAATGCTTAGGAAAAAGCAAGATTTGATGCTGCTGCCGTGACTGGTCTTAAGAAGGAAACCGACGTCTTCTTGTGGGTAGCAAACGGCGAACACATCTCCATGCGATCCGGGCTTTTGTCGCTTCTGGCTGAGGTACAGGCAGACAGACCGCTTCCTCATCGAAAGTCTTGAAAATCCATAGTGACTAGTGCTTCTTACACTGGCTTCCTTAGCTCAATTACAAGGGTGCCTGAAGCCTCTAAATCTTGCTTACTTGCCGTGCAGAAGGGTGCTGGGAAAATCGAAGGGTTTTGTGGGGAAGCTGTGCTGGCAGTTGAATGGTTCAACGGCTTGCGATTTCATGGCTGCCGAAGTATGTTTGATGCTTGGCCATTTGGCCATTTAGACTTTGGCTCGAGGTGTGGCCACCGCCGCACGGTCGAAAAGCGGAGCCTCACAAAGAAAAGAGCACTCCGTCCCCGAGATGTGAAAGGAAAAATCAGTGGTAGATAGCCACAGGCATATCCAAGAAGTAGTAGAACAGTGCAGCTTTGCGGTTCTCAGTGGGTTTTAGAGGGAATTTGATGGGGCTTTTTTAATTGGAGTTTGGCAGAGAAGTTTGAAAACAACAGGAGTCACAAACAAAAGGGCAGCATTCTGTTCCCCAGGTGGTACAAGAACAAATTCGTTGTAGCTGGCCACGGGACCCAGTAGGAGTCTAGTGACTAGTGGGAGTTTTGTGAAATTTGGTGGGATTTCAGTGGGCGCCTTCCCAAGCAGCCTGCCCTCTCACAAAATGCTCGTTTGCAACGATGGCTGAGTGACCCGCCCCTCCGTGCAATTGTCTTCTAGAGTGCAGTGGGTGTTTGTCTGTTCAGGGTGGGATCTTGTCTGTTTTTAGGGGGGTTGTCTGTTTCAAGTGGGTTTTCGGAAGACTCAGCCAGACCCCAAACGAAGAAGGCATGGACGTCCTGACAAAATGTCACGGGATGCCCTCACCACAGCACATGCATGGCTCAAACTCGCAGGCATTGGTCAAGCCCCGAAAAAGATCAAAATCCTCGAAAGATTACACAGCAACGGGCACTTCAACAGTATGATCTGAATCCCAACTGCGGCAAACTCTCACAGACCCTCGCCACGCACTGCCAGGTCAAGTTAGCTACCAGCTAAAATGCCCTGCTGCTCGCACCTCAACCATGAGATAGGGTTTGCCTGAAATTAAAGTGCCGCCCATTGGCACTGGGATCCTCACTTGACCCCATGTGGTCAGAAGTGTCACAACATTCTGGCCGACAATAGCCAATAGCCATGTACGAGCCTAAGATATTTGTCGAAGTCAATCATGATTTTTTTTTACCGTGTTGCAGCCGGCGTCGCCTGCGGCAGATTGAAGTCAAGGGCATATCCCCTTTTCTTTGCCCAATCTACGTAACGTCGCCAATATGGGTCAGCCCTCAGAGTCCAATAGTTGCCCACGATTATCAGTCCTCGCCGTGCCCTCGTGAGCATGACATTCAAGCGGCGCCAGTCAGCCAGGAAGCCCACGCGCCCACCACGATTGCAGCGCACGGAGCTGAACAGAATTAGTTCCTTTTCGCGACCCTGAAACGAGTCCACCGAAGCGACCAGTAGCTCTTTCGAAGCTTCAGGGCTCAGGCTCAAGTATTTGCGAATTAAGCGCCGAAGTGTGCGGACTTGGCCCACGTAAGGGGTAACTATCCCGATCTGAGATGCTTGTAGCTCGCCTGCGTCCAGCACGCTACTCAGAATTTGGGTTAGCAGCACAGCTTCACCAGGATTGCACCATGACATTCCGTTCTTCTCTTCGGAGCAATCGTTGTCACGACCGGTATCTATGACTGCTATTCCTTCTGTAGAGCATGGCCACTCGAAACCTGCAGGTGGAGGCCGCATGGCAGCGGAAACCCCAGAAAGCAGCTTGGACTCGTAAAACACATGTGAACTGTGCTCCGCAATCCTGGGATGCATGCGGAATTGTGTATCGAGAAAGAAAGAAGGAAAGCCTCTGAGAACCAAGCGCTGGAAGAGGGAAAGAGTCAGGCCGCGCGTTTCGGCCTCGAGTGACAGGGCAGCAGCCGGCAGCTGGCAGTGGTCACCAACCAGGACCAGGCGGTCTGCCCGAAGATGAGCAAGAGGTACCAGCGCCGAAAGCTCCGTGGTCTGAGCAGCTTCATCCATCAAGATTGCGCCAAACCGCAGGCGCTTGAGAAGTGAAGTTGCTGATGCGATTGTGGTGACGCAAACAACATCGGCTCCCTCCAAGATCCTTCTTGTCGCCAGAAACCTAGCCTGTGGATCCATGTAATCGTCGCAGGTCTCTCGCAAAATGGAGTCCAATGAACATCGATCCAAAGCAGAGCTTATACGGTCTGGCTTGGCAAGCCGAACGACATCCAGGCCTTTTGCATAGGCACTTTCTGCGATATTGTCGACTGCAACGTTGTTGTGGGACGATACAAGAATAGGCCTCACTCCTACACGCGACCAGAGTCGAAGAATTTCGACCGACACATGAGTTTTACCAGTGCCAGGTGGCCCTTGGATCACTGTGAGCCGCCTTTGCAGTGCGGCTGCTGCTGCTTCTCTCTGGGAATCGTTTAGCTCTGCTGAAGGTTCCAGCTGCTTGCCTCCAGGGCTGAGATCTTCCTCCGCCAAGGACTTAAGCTTCAATGTGTTCACGTCGTTCTCAGCATTCGGCAGGCTGCGGCTGCCGACCCTTCCTCCTGCCTTCGCCTTCTGCAGCTTGCTTCGCATTTTGGTCGCCCATGAATCCACGATGTCACCGCCCACGCCACTCAAAGGTAGCAATTCCCACAGTGGCAACCTTTTCTTCTCTGCCCTCTGTGCAATGTCCCCGAGTGCTGCAAGCTGGCGCTGATAAGCAAGTATGTTCATCGCAGAGTACACATCTACAAGCTCCTCCTGGCAACAAAGTTGTCGCACTTTCGCTTTTCCTCCGACATCCAATGCCAATGCGAATCCGGTATCGCTTAGCTCAGTTTCAGCATCTGATGACGCGGCTGAGGTCGAGTAAACTGCCTGTGCAAAACAAATGGCTCCACCATGTATCACACTCACCCCAGCCTTTGAAAGCACAAATGAGTTTCCTGCGGATACGTCGATCTTCGATACCCTGGCCGAAGATGTGGAAGTTGTTCGCAGCACTAAAACCTTGCCATCATCACTTGGCTCTGGCTGTAGATGCAGGGCCGCACTGCCAGACTCAACCAGCAAGGACGTGGGTCTTTCCCACGTTCGATGCTTTTGTCTCAGCTCCTCCAGGAAGTCCAAGTGAAGTATTGGAAGGAAATGGGAATAGTAGTCCACAAAGCCACCAGCAAAATGTGGAAGCTCAACCCTTCCCAGAAGATCTTCTATCACCACGCGTTGCAGGGAGCCGCATGCACTCTCGATGGAATCCGAGCTTTCTTCTGCGACTTCTCCACGTGGGCAGCAGCCTCGGAACAGTTCAGATTTACTCGGCCCATCCCCAAGCCCATCAGGAAGAAGAGGAACAATATCGTCGGGCTTGCGGATGGTCAAATTTAAGACCAAACGCACCATGCCGACAGGCGTGGGCACCCGAAACAGTAGTTCTGCGAGGACTTTGTGGTACGTTGCTACGTTGATTCTCGTGTTGCGCTCGACCATCAAGTCCAGGACTTCTGCGAAGTCTCGAGCTCCACCAACAGCAGCTGCCACGAAAAGCAGGTCACCCATGTCAGACACCTGGCCGGCACAGTTCGACCAGTGGTTCGTGAGGCTTCGGACCCAAATTCAGAAGCTGCAGAGAGCAGGTGACAAAGCCTTGCCTGTCCGTCCCGAGGAGAGGCTCTCACAGTCGCCAGGAGGGCCGAAAGCTCTCTTTTAGACACCAGCTGACGCCATTTCCTCGCAATGCATGGAGCAGCATGGAGCAAAACTATTCGGGACTGTGCGAAACAGCGCTTGCAGTTGGACCTAAGTGCTGCATAGCTTCTTCTTCATCTGCTTACTGCTCTTCTGCATCTGCTTACTTGGCTTGCTTTTTGCTGCCTCCGGCACGTAAATGTCCGGCAGACCTGTCCGTTTCAACATCTTCTTGTGCCGCTTTCCCGCGACATGCTGCGCCAGCATGGCAGTGCTGGTGCATTGCCTGATTTCTGGATTCAGGCTGAAGATCAGATCGGAACGCACAACACCGTGTCAAGATACGTCCACGAATACTCACTGATGACTGATGACTATCGAAGTCCCAGTAGCACTTTGCAAATTGGGCAGTACAGCGGCGAATCAGAGATCTCTGGCGGATCTCGCAAGGGCCTGCTGTTGTCCTCCTTTCCTCGGGCAACTCTCCTGCCGAGAGTGCTGCAGACTGGTCTCGACAATCTGGTGCACCTGCACGGCAAGTCTCAAGCAGTCAGTGCATCAGAGTTTTCACGACGAGTGTACAGGCTCATGAACATGCACCCTCGCCCACAACTGCCCAACTGCACCCAGCACGCACCCAACGCTCACCTACACCCGCCCACGATCGCACACGCACATGCACCCAGCATCTCCCCTGTGAGCCGAGCAAAGCCAGTCACTCGAGAGATTCAGCTTCGATTTCGTGCTGCCTGTCCGGTCCTGTATGCTTCTATGCCCCGGGAAATCTGAGCATCCGCGCACCTCCTCCTGCCCAAAGATAGTTGGCTGACCCCCAGAATCAGGATCCACCGAGCCAATGCCGAAGCTTCTTCACAGACTGCAGTTCCACGATGCTGCGGAGGCTTCGTGGAGCCTTGCGACAGCACTTCCAGCATGCCGCATGCCTTTGTCACATCAAAACCCTGAAAGCCCGCCGGAAACTGCGCGCCTCGCGCGCCTCGTTGCCATACGGAGACGAAGTGAAGTGGAGCGGCGACTCCGGCACCAGCTGAGCACCTTGTGGTGCTGGCCATGGCCAGTGTGTGGTCTTTCCTGATTTTGTGCCAGAGCTGCAAGATGCTGACAGCTCGTCAGCTCGGTTGGCATTCGGCTGCATCTGTTTCATTGCTTATGCGTGTAGCATGGAAATGCGATGCAGCTTCCAACGCAGTGCTGCCCTGACAGCCGTGACATCCTTTCCACTGCGCTTTTCAGTCGACAGGTCTGAAGCGATGTCGGCATGGTGCCCACCTTGGCATCAGCTTTTACTGGTGGTGCCCGTGCTGATTCAGTTCCACAGCTGAAACTGTCCTAGAACGGTCAAGCGAGCGATACACTTCCTTCATAGCGGGGCCGGATACGCTTTCAGTGACTTATCGGAGCCTCAGATTCCGAGTCAGGCCTGGAATCTCACCTTCTGTTGTGGCTCGGGGCCGATCACCCTGCTGGTGTCACAGCTTTCTTTGTCATTGTTGCGGATATCTCTTTCGTGAGTGCATTCGCGAGGCCACTTGAAATGTCCCAGCGCTTAAGCACGGAATGTAACCTTTATGCTTCATACATGTATGCAGTCACGCGACAAGACTTGCTTTTTACGAAACTGAGGTCAACACTGTGACCGTCGGGACGTGACAGAACAAAAGTGCGGCTTTCCTGAACATGCTGTGGGTTGGAGTGGCACGGCATGTCCCTGTGAAACGAACCTCGGGCCTCGGCCTGTGAATCTGGCACAGGCGAGAGGAGCCTGCAAATGCTTCAAGGCGAGGCAGCGCACACTCCAGGATTGTCGGAGAGTTCCTCCTGTCTTGTGCTTTGTGCAAATGCAGACCTCGAAACCCTAAAATAATCTAGTTCAGATGTTTCTCAGGAATGCCGGATCGTTCCAACAAAGTGGCAGGGCTGCAAAATGCTGCAAACATTTATTGCTGAGGCTATGCTGCGGAATGATGCCATGCTGTGGCTCTTGGACAGAAGCGAGCATGTCATGCACAAATGCAACCGTGTCCTTGGAACAAGCAAGCGACAAGTTCTGCTTCGTGGATCTCGAATTGCAATTTGCTCGTTCCTGTGGTCTTTCGCGGGACGATCTCTCGCTAAAGCTTTCCTTCTGGGGTGCTTGTGGCTTCCTCCAGTCTTCGCCACATCCTTGTTTCGCGACCAGCCGATACGGGAGACCCTGGTGGTCACGTGCTACCCGTTCCACTACGGCCACAACTAGAGCGACTGATGCAGCTGCCGCTGTTGCAGTCATGATCTCACATTGGAGGATGGGGGCTGTTTCAAGTTTTCTGAAGGCATCTTGAATACTACAAGCTGCCTTTCACGGCAGCATGTAGCTGCCACGTGACATGTCCAGGCCGAAGCCTGCGAAGTGTGCACACCGTCCTGCCGCCCACCTTCCAATGAAGTACGCGAAGTACGGACACATGTTAGCTGGCCAACAACACACGATCGGGAAATGCCAGGGATTCGACCTTCTCGCTCCATGCGGAAAGAATGCCTGGTCGGCATCTCTCGGTCAAGTCAGTTTCCACCACTCGTCGTGCAAGAGAAGCAGGGGCGAGGCGGCTGTGCCTCAGAGTCATCACAGCACTAAGAGCCTGTGACCAGATCCACCAGCCGGATGGCACGTAGATAGAATCACCTCGTGCGAGATGCATCTCGTGAGCAGGCATTTTCTGGGTGAAGTACCAGCCTTTCTGCAACACCGCTCGCAGAGGTCTAGCTGAGGCTGGCAAACTTGACACCTGCTGCTTGAAGCGGCAGCTTGAGCTACAACAGGCATGTACAAAATGCTTCTTGCAGCTGGCGCCTCTTGCAACTTACAGCGAAACCCCTCGGAAGGCAACCCGAGGAGCGATGCTGCAGCAGGCGAGAGAAGCACCAGCTCCTGCAGGAACGAAAGGGTCATCCCAACTTGTGTGGCTAGTGGCTAGTCATCCTTCCCGGGTCCTGTCTGCCGTGAAGCACCAACACCTGCCCTGCAGTCATGTGTCGCTCACGGACAACGGGTCCACATCTTAACGAGCTCCGAACTCCAAGTCAGGAGTGCAAACACAATGTGGAACCGTCCCATCTCATGAACACTGAAGTGATTCGGCTTGGTTACTCCAAGTTTCCACGTGGTAAGCTGAGAACGCTGAGCTCGCGACGGTCGTGGGCAGATGTGTGTGGCAACATCTCGGATTGGGGCGGCTCCACATCCAGGGCCTCGTGTCTGCAAGAAATCAACATGCAAAGAATCAGCCAGATCCCAAGTCTTTCCCATCTGTCTCTGACACGGTCCAAACCTTTGGTGTTCATCACCGCCTATCGTTTCTTTGCGGCGGCCAAGCGCTGGTGGCGGGTTAGCCAAACATGCAGCGCGGTATCCTTGATGGCCGAAGCGCGATCACGCAGACGGCCGGCACATTTCCCTCGACGACGCGCGGCAGTGCCAGGTACGCATTTTGCGCCCATCCCGGAGCTGGCTAAATTTTCTAGCGGGCGTGCTGAAGGCAAGAAAAGCTTATGCAAAGTAATCCGTCTACTGCCCTCGCTTGTTTCTACACGCACTGCGTTCGCTGCCAACTAAGTAAGTGCCGAGGCAGAACGTCCCACAAGCAGCCCACAAGTCCGCCGAACAGCTAAGCTCACAGCAGGAAACTCGTCGATCCCTGCCAGGGCTGGAAACGCCTGCAGCACGTGACGTCTCCACTGGAAAATCTGTAGGTCAGATCGAAGACACAAGATTGCATGGTCTGCATGGTCTCTTTCGCGCCGCATCGAGACACAATTACCTACGGTTGCAGTCTGCAGTCTTGGGCAGCAGAACGCAGCTATGCCAGATAAATATAGCATGCGATGCCCTGATCGTGGAGAACGTGCTTCTCCAAATACCTCGCCAGGACATAAATTGAGGGCAACACAAATAAAGCCTCACGTGCCAGTCCCTACTTTGTTCTGGTTTGTGCCCTTACCCCACGGCCCCCAGCCATTCTGTACAGCCGGCCTGGCCACAGGAGCAGAGGACTGCACTGCCACCAAAATGTTGTAAAAGCGGTCACAGAAAGAGTTGCAAACCGGACTAAAGATAGTGAAGTCAACCGCCCTATTGATAGCTCTCGCTGGCGTGCGCGCCCAATGAGCCACCTCGGTAAAAGACTCGCGCGTGTTCTCACTATCGCGGCATTGACTGGCGTCGCTAGAACAGGGCCTTTGACATGAAATCATAACATTGGTAAAGTGCCGGTTCAATTCGATGTTCAAAGAAAACTGTGACTTCTGCAGAGCTCACCACAACAACAGCATCAAGCGAAAACAGACCCTCTCAGCCACACTCAAAGCATTGACCGGCCGATTCTTAATGTTACCATTTTGGCGTTGGCACAGCAAGCCGATCGCAATCGGTCCACACCAAACCTGTAGAGGTGCCAAACATGGAAACGTGAGACAGGGCGAGACGCGAGCAAACGGCCGCGGCATGATGCCAGCTGGGTAAGACTTGGTCGGCAGCATGGGGTAATGTGGAGCAGCAGGACTCTGGGACGACGGCTCGAGACAGGCAAACTGGCCAAGATGCTCCCTGTCAATGAGCGACTCAATCCTCCGCTTGATGTCCACGACTTCGGCAGGGAAGCGAACGGAAGCCAGAACATCTGCCAGAAGCTCTGAGTGCGATAGTTTCCTTTTAGCCTTCCTTAGCTTTGTGAAAGTAGCGCGGACTGGCTGGGCTCGCAAGATAGGACCCTAGGCTGCACGCTGCTATCCTGGTGTTGTCCGGCTGCATGATACGAATGATGACGGCATCAAGTTCATGTTGGCGGCTACCTCCCGAACGGAGCCAACAAGACACTAACTTCTCGTAAACAAGAGATGCAATCCGTTCTTCATTGATGTCTCCAGAGCCTACGACCCTCTGCTCCGCAGCATCCTCTTCTTGCAGTTGCTCCTGCGGCGACAGCTCACGCAATGTAGCTCGATACTTGAAAAGGGCATTCCAACTACCGGGCAAAGCTTCGAGGCACCTTCGGCGAAATCGTGGCAACGGTGATTCTGTGGAGCTTGTGGGTAAAGCCACCATTGTACGAAACTCTATCTGTGGATTGGACGTCTTGCTCAGCACGGTCTCTGAGCAGGATTTTGACAGCTTTATGTGTCAGGCTTTGCAGCGTCAGTTGTAGATCAGCCTGCGGAATCTGCGTAGCTTCCGCGATGTCCCCAAAGCTTAGAGAGTCGGCTGAGTTGAAGCAGAGAAGAACGAGTGCCTGAAAGTGGGATACCACGAATTCCTTGCGAGTCTGGCTGGCTGTGCCATATGTAGCTCGCAGAACACACTGGCCCAAAGCTGGGCACCATGACAGGGAACGTCCCGTGTGTTGCCGCTGGTAGAAATTTGTAAAGCATGTCCTTGGACACAAGACTTCGGTGTAACACTTGCCAGCGCTGCCGATCATCACTGCTCCGTGCTCGTCCAATCCACCGGCGCCGATTTGCAGCCGGGGCTCATCAGGCGGAACGGAATCGAAGGAACCGAGATGTCGGCACTGGGCTGAGCGGGCCATCTGCCTGCTGTCAGGACGGAGGCGACGAACTCAACACCGGTCTCCTGAGTGTGATCTGACAGCCATCCAGCACCAAAAGAACACACGCTTCCCGACACAGATTGATTGCTTTGGGCCGGGGGCATGTGCTTCGGACAAGCCTCGTCAAGGAGCTGCTTTGCTTGTGCGGTAGCCTCAAAGCTTTGACTCAGCACTCGAGAGATTTCCAGGTCCTGGAACATTCCCTCAATTCCTCGACTGAGAAAGTTTGCACCACCCCGCCCCCCGCTCCAGCGGAAATGAATAGCAATGACAACAGTAAAATAGATGCCGAAAGCTGCCCTGGAATCCAGCTGTGTATGCACTGCCGCACTCCTCTCGAAGCTCTAATACTGCGGATAGTTCAGCTTCGCGAGAAATGGACCGTTGCAGAAGCAATCGTCGTGCCAGATCCTTTTTGTAAAAGGCCTCGAACCTGCATGCTTCACGCTTCTGCACATCGGTCGTAACAACAACCGCTGCCTGACGAGGTCTGAGGCGACCACGCATCTTTCGCTGCGATGTACCGAAATATCCTGAACATCCACCATTCTGAACATGATGCTTCGGTTGTATCCTCCAAAAGACCCACGTGGGGTTATCCCCCCCCATTTTTATACTATATTTTGGGGTTTGGGCCAGACCGGGGTTTACAAGATGGGGGGGCAACCTTTGACCGCGCCCGGAGGTCCTTAAAAAATGGGGGGGGGCGGGGTAACCCCACTAAAACGGGTTTTGGACGTCAACGCCCCTTTTTTTTTCAAGGAGCCTGCGTGCACCATGGGAATGGTCTCGTGCGATCAGAATTGGCTTGAAACCCCAGAGTCTTGCTTACTTAGCCCAGTGGGTTTTCAAGCCCCCACTCGGCTCACGCAGTCCTGACTGCCTCCACAAAAGAAGAGACACGTCCGGCTCACGCAGTCCCCATTTTGTCAGCAGCGGCAGTGGCATTCATGGTGGTAGTCGTGTATGGGCTGCTACTAGTGGTGCTGGTGCTAGTCTGGTCCTGGTATTACTACTACTACAACTACAACGGCTACTCCTACTCCTACTGGTATTGCTACTGCCACTACTACTAGTACTGCTGCTGCTGCTGCTACTGCTACTGCTGCTACTATTACTGCTACTAGTTCTACTACTACTACTACTACTACTACTACTACTACTACTACAACTACTACTACTACTACTACCTGATCCTACCTGACTACTACCTGACTACTAC